GTTGGACCACAATCATTATAGATTGATATTAAATTAAGATGAAAATAAACTCAAGGACATTCTTCTTGAAAAGAAGCCAATAAAATATGTTTGTGTTCTATTCTACTGTTCTACTTGATAAAATAAAAGTCCACATAGGTTGTTCTAAAACAGAAGGAAAAGGAGTGGGTGGAAAAGCGTTAAGAAAGGGGGTAGCTAAAAGTAGCACTGAGTTAAAATCAAATCTGAATTTTGATTTTGGAGCCAGTGATCTAGTCTACCTATCAGAGAAACAAAGTTTCTTAGAGGCCCAAAAGGAGGGACAAAGAAGCCGCTCAGACCACCAGCTGGTAGTGGGTGTGGCCAAGTAGTGTGATTCCTGATTTGTCTTGGGCCTCCAGACACCTGCTTTCTCCATCCTTTCCTTCAATTATCTACCCTTTTTATAATCATCTAAAATTTCTCAAATAATTTAAAAGTCAATGAAATGGATTTTTATAACCATTTATAAATTAAAAGGCAGCGCATTAAAAAATTCCTTTTAATGTCCACTATTTCCATTAATGCCACTGAAGATGAAACTTAGCACTCTAAAGTTGAACATCTCTGGCTACAGAGCACATGGAAAATAAAAGGGGATAAGCCTTCCTGGAACTTTCTCTGAGCCTTTCTGCATTCTCAGAATCTTCATCTATCAGCAAATCTTTTTCAAAATGTACTCTAAAGTGTCCAAGTTCATGATGGACAGACAAAGCACTGATTCTGCAAAAGCCTGAACTAAGGTTTACTTAAAGATTTCAAACTACTGGTCAACAAGGACAAAGACAAAAGACAGAAAACCTGAGCCTCCCAGGGAGCTCCTGTTACCTTCCTTCTTGGTTCTTGCATGTGCTCTTTATTCTGGAAGAATAATGTGCCAGGCTTTCACGGACTGTTTTTTAAAACTACTACCTTACAGTTTAAAGTATTTTCAAATATCACCAAGAAATATTTCCCAGAAAGTAGCATGGCTTATTGGATATTCAGTAGTGATCCCTGCATTAGAAATTCATAAATTTTGAGTTTTATCATCATCATCATCATCATAATCATCATCATCATTAACCAGGAATAATTCTCTAGAGGCATGCTGTATATAGGCATTATTCCTCATGGAAAATGACAATAATTCATTTGAAGGAAACTTCATTAAAGTGGGTCCCAGTTGCCTGATTTTTTTTCTTGGTACTAGTGGTGTTCAAAAACAAAGGAGAGTACTTTCTAAGACAAATGGATCAAAAATCCCAGGCCAGCCCTTTAAATATTTCAATCCAGCAATTGAAAAAAAAATTCATAGCAAATGAATAACTGAAGGTTAAGCCCCATGAAACTGTGTCATAACTCTTACCCAGTGTATATGTCAAACAAAAAAATAATCATTCTATTATCCAGGTCATTTACATACTGTGTGTGACCTAGCCAATTCACTGCTAACTACATACATACAGAAAGCTTCTGTTGCGAGAAGATGGATAGAAGAAGAGAAAGCAGATCTTAAAAAGAAAAGGGGAAAGAACTAGGCAGGGCACAAGGAATGTACCAAAAATATATCTCATTTCTCCACAGAGGAAGGAAAAGCTATGTTGGCAATGCCTAGAACTATAGTGGTTTGTATGGATTTCAATTTTATGTCAAATCAAATAATTGTGAATCATGATAACTGTTCCATTTCAAAAGTATGTAATGAGATTATTAAATGCTCTCATAAATAGTTCATAAAGCATAGAATAGAAGAAAGAATACATTTGTATAAGCACTCAGAGATGTATTTGGCTGATGTGGACATTTGAAAGTAATGAAAAGTCACTGAAAAAGGAGACAGAAACAAAAACAAAAGTTGGCAAAGGAGGATAGTGATGCCAAAGAAAATGCTGATAATTTTCTAGATTTTCAGAAAAAGAAAAGGCCGATACAATGATAGGAAATATTAAAAAAACAACAACAAAAAAAAAACACCAGTGCCAATGCACAACAAACTGGGAGTCATAAAGAAAGTACCAGACCACAGTGAACAAAGTCATTTAAAAAATTAAGCAACAAAAACAATGATTATAAAAAGTACTGTGTATATATACTACATCCCAAAGATACTGGTTAGAAATGTGTTTATACAAAACTTAAAAAAAAAAAAATTAACCAGAAGAGGAATAAGATGATAGCAGAAAAAGTTTCTGTGATAATTTTTGCCAATTTGAACAGCTATGTTCAAAATGACTTGCTTTCCTGGTTAAGCAGATCGAGACAAGAATGCAAGCTTAAACAAGAAACCTCAGAGAGGCACTGCTTTCTGGCTTGTTTCCTCTGGTTGGCCCATATATTGGCTTGGTCTCCTTGACCAAGGATGGCACCATGCACAGTGAGCTGGATTCTTCCATGTCAATCATTAATCAATAAAATGTCCCACCATGACTGTGGGGGTTAGATGAGCAGTGAAGAACACTTGCTGCTCTTGCAGAGGACTTCCATTCAGTTCCCAGCATTCAAATGGTAGTTCACAACCATCTGTATTGTAGTTTCAGAGCATCCAGATTCATCTTCTGGGCATTTCAGGTACCAGAGACATACTCAGTATAGTTCATACATGCAGGAAAAGGACTAATACATATAAAATTTTAAAAATTTAATAAGAAAATGCCCTATAAACAAGCTCACAAGCAAATCTGATGAAAGTAATTCCTCAAATGAGATTCCATATTTTTTGCTGACTCTAGTTTGTATCAAGGTAACAGAAACTAACCAGTACAACTTGTATGAGACTCTGCTTTTGACACACATTACTATGCACATTGAATATATGCATATAAAAAAATAAATAAAATAAAAATTTTGGATCTTACCCAGTTCAGATAATGATTCAATAAATTTGAGAAGTAGATTGGGGTGCTGCCAGGAACAGCTGCGTCTCACTGTCATGAAAACCCTTATGTTATTAAAACATTTCAAATGTCATATTCTGTAGGTCTCTGCAGTGTTTGAAGACTACCTACCTAGCTAAAACAAAAATAAGTTAAGTTTAACTTGAAATCATGCATAACATGACTACAGGTTTGATTATTAAAGATGAGTAACTACTAACATTATTTATTATACATTAAAATTTTAATAGATACAATACCTCAAACAATAATGTATATCATGTGTAAATTGTATATGTATATATATATATATATATATATATACATATACATATACATATACATATATATATATATATATATAGAGAGAGAGAGAGCATTAGAAAACTTAAATTTGTATCCACATATAAAAAATACCTTAAACAAGAGTAGAAACAAATATAGAATATGTTCTAACAAAAATAACATTAAATTTATTTCAGTATACAAAAACACCTAAAACAAGAATAGGAACATATATACAGCATGTTCTAATAAAAATAACCATAAATTTGTATCACTATACAAAAATCCATACCAATGTAAAATATTTTAGATTGATAGTTGTTTTTTAGTCTAAAGTCGATTCAATAATCAACCCTTTCATCCTATATTTTCCATATCCCCTTTTTTCTTTTCATAAAGAGATCCTTGAATTCAACCTTCCTTGCATAGTTTCCTCCTTTACTATGATGAGTAACAACTTGCAACTAACCACCCTAAACGACGACAAACATTCACAACCCATGGAATGACCAAAAACCACCCACCCCACCTCTTGGGAATGTGGATGTTGTAGTCTTAAAATTATTTCTTGATGTCTAAAGGCAATGGCCTCTTTAAGGAACCCTGAGAAAAGTGAGATAATGGTTAAGTCCTGAGAGAGCTAGCTGTATTACTTGTTGTCCAATCTCTGTGTAATGAGAAAATGCAAGACTTATCTCAACTACTGGCTAGTAGTCTGTGAGGCTGGGCCATCTTGCTAACCATTTTGAAGTTATTCTAGATATAGAATTTTTGAAGAAACTGCAAGAGAGGCATTCTGAGAGGCTGGGTCACCTGAATTGTTGTTGTTTTTTTTTTTTTTCTGAAAACCCACAAACTTTTAAAGTTTGTACATATCTACATTAACACAAGTGTGGAATTGTGGTATGCACAGATCAGCTAAAGATGATTTTTCTGCTCTAGGTTTGAGCAGGTAAAAGGCATCAGCTAACTTTATAAGTCCATTTGGACTTTATAAACAGAATGTAATATAAATTTCTATTCTTGCCATGTGAAAGTTTAACATGTAATAATAAACCATGAGGAATCTGTAGTCAACAAGATTTATCATGTCTCATCCAGTATCAGAGTTGTTCCAATGTCAAGGGATGAGCTTATATGTCATATCTTCTAGTTTTTCTTACTTTTTTTTTTCTTTCACATCAGTAACCAAGTCTTTCAGGAGGTCTACCCTGGTCAAATCTAATCTCTAATCACTTTGAAGGAATCCATAATTTCTGTTTGCTGTAGAAAGAAAGGCATAACCTCTCCCACTATTCAACACATTTCTTGACTTCCAATTTGAAACCAAGACATCTATCTCTAAAGTATTGTTTACTTCAGCAGTCCTTTCCATAATCCAACATCTCTCAGCAAGTAATGTTTTTCATACATTAGCATTTTAAAAATTAAGTCAACAAAGCACCATGCAGATCCAGATGTCCTGTGTATTTCCCATCCCTACATGGCATACACACTCACTTTCTTTCTTTAAAGACATTATTATTTTTAAACTATCTTTTTCTATAGCTGCCTATACCCATTTTTATCTGTTTAAAGGCCTTCTCAGTCTGGACTGCTTTACTGTGTTCCTGATAAATGTATTATTAGCATTTATACAGTTGTTGTAGTAAAAATGTAGGATTCGGTATTCCACATTTTAGGAGATGCCAGTTTATCCTCCAACTAACAAATAAATTTTAAAAATAATACCTCTCCTAAAAGGAGCTAAAATAGAGTCATACTTAGGTTTTAATATGAATATACATAAGCATGGTAGGAAAACAGGCATCAGTGGCAAAGAACTAGAGAAAGACATTGCTCTCAAAGAGACAGAAAGTTGATTTAATCAGGATTTCTCATTTTGGAACTTTGTTTGGAAATATCTGAGCAGTGTGTTTGGTCCCCTTTTCCCCTTTTTTATGGATTTCGTGTTGCGAGACCTCATAGGCTTGGGTTTGGGTGGTGCCGATTGTCTTGTTTTGGTGGTTTCAGAACCTGTACTCCTTATGAACTGAAGCCAGGAGACCCCTGGAGGTAAACGGTGGTGACTTTTTACATTGGCAAGGACATAACCTGAGAGTGGAGGTGGAGTAGGGTCTTTGCAAGCAGGGTTTGGAGAGGAAAAGCCAGTAGAGGAAGAGGAGGAAGAAGAGGAAAATGAAGAACCAGAAGATGATGATGATGATGAAGGGGCTGGAGCCGGGGTTTGGGGCTGAATGCTATTACTGTTTTTAACATAAAGCAGCCAATCTATTGCCTGGGGCTGTTGGCTTATATCTTTGTCCTCAGAGGATACAGCCAACCACTTTTTGTCTGTCTTGAGCCCCTGAACAAAATCAGATTCAGATGCAGGGAAAAATTGTGTTATCTTCTCTAATTCTTCCAGATTATCATCTAGGACTTCTAGATTATCATCAGGTTGATTATCTTTAATGGGAAGTTGGTAACAAGATGAGGAAGGAGACTCTGGTAGAGAAAGGATAAGAACTATTTTCACGTCTATTTTTCCATCAGAGCTGCTCTCAGGTGTTGGTATGACAAAGAGTGTTGCGCATCGAGGATCTTTCTTTCCTGTAAGGTGGTTACACTGAGATTTTATGCAGGAAGCACATTCTAAACAAACAGTATACGTTGATGAAAGGCGGGGACCAGGACGAGGATTTGGCCTTCCCCTCATTCTTCGAAAGAGAATTTGCCTAGAGAGGTCCTTCTGGATTGTAGACTTGGAGATAGAATTGACGATTTTATTTACAATATCAACAGGAATAGTTCCGCCTTTAATAATGCAGGGATGACTATAATCTAAAGACCATGGGGTTTCATTCTCCAAGTCTGGCTTCACAATTTGTTCACAGCTTCCTTTACTCTGGAGTTTGGAACTTAGAATTGAAGTATGTTTGTTCTTGATGCATGGCTTGGGACTTGACACTCTTTGGCCTGAGATATTTGGTTTAGGATGAACTGAGGATAGTTGACCAGCTTTGGGTTTGTCCTTGGGTGAAGTAGTGGTATGGACCTTGGAGTGACAAACAGGTGAGCCAAGGACCCGGGTGCTATGATCACTTCTGAGCACTGTTTTAGGCTTTGGCTGGCACACTGGTAAACTTTGAGATGGATGAACAGAATGTGATAATAAAGGTGATTTCCTTGATTTTACTTGGGATGATGGCAAATTCAAAACATTGTTATTAGAGTTTGATACAGGAATTTTCGCAGGTTTACTGTCAGGCAATGGTGAATTCTGAGCCATTCTATTGGTCTCCGGAGAAGATGAAGCTGGAAGAGAGTGATTTCTTTGAAGATTGCGGTTGAGTGGTGGTGAGGTCAAAGATGACAAAAGGGAGTCCAATGAGGAGTCCTTCTGTGATTTAGATTTACACAAAGTTGAGTTAGGTTCACTTTGACTCAATTCCAAAGTAGGTGAAGTCCAGATGACATTGAGGGAAGTTGTTTCTTGATGTTGAAGGGAAGATGAAGATGGTGTTGAGACTCTTTGAGTAGACTCCAATAAAGGTGATTTCCAGCAAAGGTCTATACTTGATGATGTCTGAGTCTTAGGGATGGGTAATCTTGATCTCAGAGCTATTGGGCTAGGTTCCAAAGATGAAGTATTGGTAAAGCCAGATAAAGATGTTTTCTGAGGATTGTGGTGAGACAAAGATGAGTCCAAGCATTTCCAAGAAGGATTAAATGAACTTTTCAAGTAGGGGTCTTTTGAAGATGTTGCTGGACATTTGGAGTGTAATGATGATGATTTCATAGACCTGTTATAGGAACCTTGAATCCTGTTAGAGTTCGGAGATGGCAATGTCGAGAAGCTATGGGTCTTTTTGTTAAAGCTTGGTGAAGGTACTATGGCTGTATTTTGAGATTGTTCTTTGGCTACAGGTTGTCTGTTGAATTGGCTTAGTATATCACTTGTGTATTGGTATGTAGGTGAGTTGTTTGTAGTTTGTTTCTGAGGGTTCTCTAAATGCATAAAGTGTTGATCATGATATGCCAGTGGCACCATCTTGTGCTATAGCAGAGATATTTTGAGAAGATATTTGTTTAAAGAAATGTCTTACTAACAGTCTTTAGAGCAAGAATCCATGGACAATGGGCACTTAAAAAAGCCCTAGTAGTTCTAATTTCTATCTTGTTATGTTTGAGTTAGTGGTAAATTTGTAGAATGTATCACAATTAAACAGTAAATGAAATTGGGGAGGGGATGTCACCACTTAAGATTATCCTCTGTCTTCCATTTAATTTCCAAGAGCTTTTGGTTTTTTTTCCTCTCTGTGTATCTTTAAGGTAAAATTCCTGTTAACAAAATAGTAAAGAGTTTAGAAGAGGTCCTTACATGATATAATTTTCTCAAACTGAATTGACTAGCACACAGAGTTTATAAGATAAAACCCAGAACGTATACCCCAACCACGTCACCTATCTTTTGAATTAATGTATCTAAACCCATTACACACCTATAAAATAGACATTTTCAATTTACTGAGCTAAAGACTAAAGTAATAAACATAAATTTGTGGCAATCCCTAGGATGTAAGGGCTCAAAAGCTAAAAGTAAGAATTAATTACTTCTACTTTATCAATTATTGCATTCCTTCAGAAACAGATTAAAAGTTTCTTATGCCAGACAATATCATCTTAAAGAAAGGTGAAATACAAGTTTGAAAATGTTGGCTTCCAATTTTGAATCAGTTCTCATTGTTGTCACATCTTGACCTACATCTAAAAATCTAAACATCTAAATGAAGGTTTCTTGCATTCAGTCTCATTTATGTTTGTCACCACTGCAGCATTATAAGCATATGCTGTGCCCTTCAGAAACTACTGCCTTTTTGAAATGTATTCTTTCTGCCCGACTCTCATATTTCTTCCTAGGTTCTCACATAATTCTTTAGTTGAATCTCACACACAACACATTTTTAAGCTACATCACTGTGGCTACTTAAATGGAAATGGCCCTCAAAGGCTCATAAATTTGAATGTTTGTCCCCCAGTTGGTAGAAATGTTTGGGTAGGATTAGGACATGTGGTCTTATTGGAGGAGGTGTGTCATTTTGAGCTTTCAAAAATTCATTCCATTACCATTAGTTCCTTCTGTCCCTTCTATTTCTTCCCTGACTCAGGTGATGTTACTTAAGGAAATGCCTATTAAGATATGATGTGTTACTGCTTTTCTTCCCCTCCATCCCCCTACCATTACCAACCTAATATATGGTGAAAAGTTTTTCCTCACATATATCAACTTATTCAAATAACACAGTGGCAACTGCATTATTTACAAAGACTTTTTATTTCATAGACTTATTCTCACCCTCCCGCAAGCATATCTTATAAGTATCCTAGTGGATCCCCTTTTAAGTGTCATTAGTACCAACAGTATTTATTGATTACATATCAATCTTCCTAACACTGGGTTTTAGAAAATCTGGTCATGGGTCTCTCTTCTATTTGAAAAGTGTGCTTCCATCTAAGCATCAAACTTCTCCATCTAAAAGTATCAGTGATAATTTAAACACCAAAAAAGTATAACCCATTTGCTATAATTATTCTAGACAAATTTATTTTCCCATGTCTTCTATTTAGACACATATTTTAGAATCTTTATAGTGATAGAGGATAATTTCATTTCCTAAAGCTATTTAAGTACCAAGATTTATTGATTTTGACTATTTCATTTCTTATTTTTCCAGTCTCATCTTTTCAGTTTTTCTATAGGAACATCTCACGCATCAGAGTAATGTGTGATTATAGTTACTTCTATAAACCATTTGTCTGTTTTTTCTCCACCAAACATAAAAGAGCAAACTCTTTCTGGAAGACACCCCTGATGCTTACTCATGTGTTTTGCAAGCTTTCAGTGTGTCTGCAAAGGAGTAGTGAATATGGACTTTCTCTAATTTCTGGTGTGGGGTGATTTGTCACGGAGCATCTTAAAGAGAAAAGAAAATGTGCACCCTATGAGATACTGAGTGCATCATAAGCATCTAATGGTTAATGTCTAGCACTCTATGTTCTCATCTGTGACTTGCACGTCATCTTCCTGCATAATAATACCCTTTAGAATTTTTAATTAATAAACTTCCACTTTCCCTTAACTTTAGAAATCAAGTTTGGAAAGCAAAGCCACAGAAAGGCATACATAAGACAAACAACTGGGTCATACAGATGGCCTCTGAATATTATGAAGAAAATAAGAAAAGACAAATTGTGAAATAAGAAAGATAAGAAAAACACAGCCACTTCACAACTGAGGATATTTAAATGCTCTGCTCCTATGTGAAAATAAAAGTTCAGACTCCTTAGAAGCCAATCAATTGCCCATTTAAACAATTTTAGTGATACATCAATAAACATCACCAAAATGTGATAAACAAAATGAAAACCAAAGAACTCAATACCTGCATAGAATGTATATTAAATAGAAGGCTCGTGTACTGCTCTAGGGGTGTAAATTGACAGTCTGTTTGAGACAATCCCTAGTTAGACCCATTAATTAAATTAGTTTCATTATTAAAGAGAAAATTACCATTACAAAGAACATTACAGCAGACATATGTGCATTGAGCAATGCATACAAGTGCTGATCGATAACAATAGATAAATAATGTATATTCATTCAAAGACTATCAAACAATGAAAATTAACAGAAAATATAGCCTTAATGCAACTGCAAACATAATTCTCAAATGGAGAATATTAAGTAAAAGAATCGCATATAACCCCTAGATATGTTTGAAACCACAAAAGTTAGCAACCCTAACTACATTGCTGAAATGAGTGTGCTTCGTGAGGTAAAGATTAGGAGAGAGCACCAAGGCATGTCTGGAAGGTGGTTATCTTCTGCCTCTGGACCTGATTTTGATGGGAAAAATGAGTTCACCGGGTGATAATTGAGCCCTAACACTTATGCTATGTACATTCTTGTAGATCCCTTCACTAAAATAAAAAGTGTTAAAGTTGATGACTTGAGGCTAATTAGAAAAGACACATCTGAAACAGAATTGCACTGAAAGGTGAAACATTAAAGAACAAACCAAGATCTGGCTCACAGATGCAATGAATCCTACACCCCATCCCCCACAACTCACATTACAAAAAAAAAAAAAAAAATGGATAAAAAGAGGGGAAGAATGAAAGGTAGAAATCCTGCTAACCTATCAACACAAGAATAAAGAAATTCAAAACAAGAATCTAAGGCAAAAACCCATAGAAAATAACAGATATACATAGTTCTACTTAAAGAATTACTCAGCATGTCTTGCAATGAGCATAGAAGTATTACAGGTAGCAAACTACCTCTGGAAAAGGCTAAATTACTGCAGAAAATGAACACCAATATAATATCATTAGGTCAAATGTTCCCTGTGATCTAATGCTTTTATTCTTGAGATTATTCAAATTCAAATGTCCCACAAATAATTATAATATTAAAGATCCTCAGAGTAAGGAAATGTAGAAAAGTTCTCATTTTGTTCTATGAAAAAATGTGTATAATTCATATATTTAAGGATGACAAAGGTATATATTAAAGGAAAATAATACAATATTCACAAGTAGAATTTTTTAATGTGTGTTTCGCTTGTATGTGTACCATGCGCATGGCCTTGGATTTCCTGGAACTGGGGTTTTGAAGTTGTGAGCTGTTATGTGATGCTGGGATTTGAATATGAGCCACTAGTGCTTTTAATCACTGAACTATTGCTCCAGCCTACCTTAACATTTTTAATGTTTCTTTGTTTTGTCTTTTCAACTAATTGTATCATTTCCCTTTTCTTTCCTCCAAACCCTGCCCTAAACTCCTCTTTTCTACTTTCTTCCAAATTTATAACCTCTTTCGTGTGTGTGTGTGTGTGTGTGTGTGTGTGTGTGTGTGTGTGTGTGTGTGTGTGCGTGCACGCATGCATTTGTGTGTTAATATTAATTGTACTTATATGTTTTATGTTTCCAGGACTGAACATTTGGTGTGTTCTTCCCTAGGGAAGGCTCTCTCTCCCACTTTTAGAAGCCCTTATTTGCCTATTGCTCTGCCTATGGTTAAGCCTTTATGTGCTTTCTACCTTCCATGTAGGCCTGTGTATTGGTGTCATCACTATTCAGACATATTTAGGCAGCCATGTTGTTGGGATGTAATTTCTGACATTTCTAGGGCACATAATCTCACAGCAAACTTTGTATTCCTCTGGCTTTTACAATCTTTCCATCTAGGCTTTTACAAGGATCCCTGAGCCTTAGGTGCATCTATTGGGACTGGGCTCCACTCTGCACTCTGATTGGTTGTGATGGTCTCTATCTGTTGCAAAGAGAAGTTACCTTGAAAAGGTTCAGAACTACACTTACATGTGGATATAAAGGAAAACATTAAGAATGTAGATAAGGGTTAAGCAGGCTTAGTAATGGACTAGCTGTAGGTTCTTCTCCAAGATCCATGATTTCATGAGCCCTGGGTAGTTGGCTACGTTTCCAGTTCAGGCATGATTTCTACATAGGGTACAGCCAGTGAATTTTGAGATGCTTGGCATTAGGATAGTCACAAAAGTTTTGTCTTTCTAATATGTTTGGTTTATTCACACAAATATTACTAATAATACCATTCCTAATACAAAAATTAAGCAGTCTTATAACCAAGCAGGGAACAGTTGGTCAGATAGAAAACTCTTAGGGTGCTAATGGGGAATGTTCTTCAGGTGTGGTTAGAAGGCTTCAGGAACTTGGCAAGCGCAACCCATATCTGCCATGAAAGTTTTCAACTCTTTGGCAGGTCAAGAGGACGGCACTGGTGGAGGTCCAGAACATCTGTGAGAGCTTCCAGGGTATAGCAATAACAGGTGAGCATGTGTGAGCTCAGGAATGGTGAACAGTCAGGAACTCAACAGTCACCAAAGACAGGACCACACACAGGGGCCAGTCTCAAAGTCCTCTTGCCACTGAGTATCAGAGGCTTTAGTCATCATGTCTTGGGAGTACAGCATAGTAATTCTAGGAACCGCTTCACATTGCTACAGATGGAGACCATTCCAAAACCACC